AAAGTTGCTGTGATTTTGTGAATAGTGCCCTTACCAAGTAAGGTCAAGGTTCGATCAATTGCACGGTGAGAACTTCACTGAGTATTTTTGATTGTTTTGTTGTAAGGAATGTCATATGTATTTTTACGATGGTACCCCTTTTAGAAGTTTGAGTACCGCCCTGTCTCAATAATAATAATATGATGTGCTCGTGTTTGGCAACAACGGATAGAATCCGCCTTATCGGTTCATCGCATCGGAAAAAAAAAGCGAAAGAATTTGAAACGCTTATCACATGTTTTTACTACAATTTTATTCAGTTGTATTCAGTCAATGTGTCAGTCGGTAACTCGGAGTGAATAGTGGTGTTTGTGGCGTGGCTCAAACGAAATAAAAAATGGCACATGTTTACGAAAATGCTGAACTTGTGGACATGATTCTTATTTACGGGGGTGCGAGGGGGGGGGAGTCTTTACAAATTGCTGCCGCGGCATCACGGATTTATGCGGATCGGTTTCTCAATCGAGTGCAACCAACCCCTCGTGCATTTGTTAATGTAGTACAAAGGGCTCGTGAATCAGGTGACTTAAGACCTCACAGGGGAGGGCATGCCGGTGCTCCAAGACCGCACGATCAAATACAGGTCCGCACTAAAATACTTGTCGGGAGGATATTTTATAAAACAAGATAATATTTTTTTTTATTTTTTTTTTATTTTTACGCATATTTTGGTTTATCTTACTTCTACAATCATCTGAAAATTAATGACTCAACTTCAAAATCACCCTGTATACGCTAACAGTGATTACACACCGTACTTCTCCCCAGTTTTTCGTAATTTACAACCTTGAACATAACCTCTCTTCAGAAAGCGCAACATATTAATAACCCTTCATATTCGGCATATTTAGTGATGATTTTCTCACACAGCAAATATCACTGATTTTATATATACTAAGTGACATATAAATCCGAACACCCAGTTTAAATGGTTTTATTTTAATAAAATTTTGTATAAGTACTTGTGGATGCACCCTGATGTGCTACGCATTCTCCAACTCGCCTAGGCATGCTTCTGATCAGGTGGTCAATGTCCTCCTGTGGTATCTCATTCAAGGCAACCACCAACTCCTCTCGAAGTGCTTCTAGAGTCTGAGGAGGACGTTGCAAATTGAGAAATCTAATACCCATCATATCCCACACGTGCTCAATTGGGGTTAAGTCGGGAGATCTTGGTGGCCATGGTAACAATGTGACATCATTATGTTGAAAGAAGTCTATTGTGACTCTTGCAACATGTGGTCGGGCATTATCTTGTTGGAAAGTTGGATCTGCCAGGGTGTCAAGATAGGGTAAAAGATGGGGTTCTACAACTTCGTGGATATAACGCTGCGCGTTCATGTTACCTCTGATGAAGATTAAAGGGGACCTGGAACCATAAGCTATAGCACCCCAAACCATAACTCCAACAGTGTTATTAAGATGTCTTTCAACAAAAAACTGTGGATTCCTCCTTTCACCACGTCGCCTTCTAACAATGGCACGACCATCGTGCATGCCTAAACAAAATCGAGACTCGTCACTAAAGACAATACTGTTCCATTCCTGATCCCAGAGTGACCGTTGTCTGCACCACTCAAGGCGATTACGTCGGTGTTCTCGAGTTAAAGGGAGGACCCAGTGTGGCCGGTATGAAAACAAACCATTCATTTGCAATGGACCTGGTAGTGGAGAAACGGTCCCTTAAGGCCAATAATCTTAGGCGGCGATCTTCACGGTCTGTTGTTCTACGGCGGCGTCCAGTGTTCCTTGCTCTTTGCGTACGGCCTTCTCGAAGCCATGCCTGACAACACCTAACCACAGTGTCTACACTTCTTTGCACTCTAACTGCAATTGCCCGAAAGAAAGAGTCCAGCTTCCCGAAGTCCCACTATACGGCCCCTATCAAACTCACTAAGTTGACGAAATCGTACAGGTCTCCGTACTCTAGGCATCGCAACCGATCGTAAAGGATGTCAAGAACCAAAATCCGCCAACGTTGATTCTTTACTGTGGCTGAAATATTCATTTTTAGAGCGTTAGTGAATTAAAAAAAAGCAGTATAAAAACCGGAATGTCCAACTGATAAGGCTGAAAATTTTTTCACTTGTTATTTACAGTAAGATAAATACATTCACCAACTTTTATTAAAATAAAACCATTTAAACTGGGTGTTCGGATTTATATGTCACTTAGTATACATGCAGACCAATACACATAATCATCCAGATGCGATCTTGCTATTCGACCAACTTTCTTCTCAGAGATACAAACTACAGACCCGGATCACTCAGCTTCACAAAACTAGGCAACCAATAATGCGTAGTTTAGTTGAGTGATTCCTCCATAGATGGTCGTTCACAACGATCCTAGTGAGCAAAAGTGGAATGACTGTTTGCGCCCTAAAAACTGCCTAGTCTGCAAGTTGACAGCTTATAGGCCTTTTTTGACGTTTTATAGGACTTTTACATGATACATGTGCGGGTTGCTGGGGAGATTAATTACTGTTCGGTTTCCTCTGTCTATTATTGTATTGTGTTATTATCGGTATCAAGACAGACAATAATTAACATAATGAATAGACAGTAGAATTTTGCATGTCGTGAGTCGGTATGATATGGAATGTACTCAAAAGGCTTTTCCCAAAAATATACCTGTCCCCGACAACCCAGTACTATCGACCCCAGGAAGGACAACACCCCTGACGTTACGTTACCAAGTAAGTGGCTTTGAGATTATCCTGGCACTGAAGTCCCCATTAAGTTGCTAATGTACTACCCTGGTGATAAAAGTATAAAGGTGCAACCATACGTTTGTAAGGCGGATCTGTTGTTTTCTCATTTCTTTATCGTCGTCTTACAGGTATTAAAAAAATCAATGCAAGATAAATTTCTATGATAATTGGATCTGTTATATTGGCAGTCACGGATCATGTCTTCTGTTCGTCACTATCCATCAGAGCGATCCGTGGGACCTTTGCTCTTTGTTAAAGTATCCTAGGTCAGTAGGTCTGTCGGGACTGGTTGCCCAGACACCAGACGAAGTCAGGGAGAAAGAAAGGAAGAAGAAAGAAAGGAAGGAAGAGGGAGGAGCAAAGAGGGTGAAGTGCGCCGGTTAAAGGGATGCCTTGCTATTGTTAACTGGTATTCGGTTATTTTAAATTAATCCAAAAATTAATTTAGGAATTTGTGTGTGCCAAAAATCGTAATTTTGGTTGGATCTAGAATTGCACGATTTGATTTTGATCACAGTGCGAGCCGCGGTCTTGTGTGCTTGCGAACTTGCTCTACTGTGTAGTCTACTGACTCACGCAACAGAGGGTTGCTGTGCGATTTCGCTTGACTATAACGTAACTGCACCTGATGTTTGATGTAGTCTCTTAGGTAAGGGATGTCGAAGTCTCTGTGAATGGTCTCGTTGGAGACGTACCATGGTGCCTTAGTGATGGTTCGCAAGGTTCTGTTCTTCAAAACCTGCAGATTACTCATATGCGTTTTGGCAAGAAAGCACCATGCTGCACATGCGTAAGTGAATGCTTGTCTGATAACCATCTTGTATAGCCGACCTTTGTTAACCAAACTTAATTTTGAGGTTCTACATAGTAAAGGGTAGAGTTGCCGAAACGTAATTTGGAATTTAGTTTTTAACACTTCAGTGACACCGAGATACTTAGCAGAATTTCCTGATGGTATGCGAGCTCCATTCTTTGAAACCTCAGACGTTTTTTAGTACAATAGATAGCCTGCGTTTTCAAGTAATTAATTTTGATTAGCCACCGATCTGCCCATTCCAATACCTCATCCACCACACTTTGTAACCTGTCGTGAACCAGATTCCCGGTACGCGACTGGGCCACCAGTGCAGTGTCATCAGCATATAGATAGACTTTAAGTCGCTTGGGCAAGCGACATCATGTGCCAAATGTGAGTAAAGGATTGGCCCTAGAACCGTACCCTGAGGGACGCCGGCTCTGAAGGGCCGTACTGTTGACAAGAAATTATTAATTTTGATCCGAAATTTCCTACCTTCAAGGAAGGATTTCAAAAGTTTTAGGAGCCAAAATGGAAAGCCCTTGTCAAATGCCTTCGAGACATCCATTAACAAGATGCCAGTACTTTCGTTAAGGGTGAAGCCCCTGGTTACTCGCTCCACAAGCCTAACCGCCTGTAACTTCGTACTATGCTCAGACCGAAATCCAAATTGCACGTCAGGAATCATGGTGATGTGACAAGAAATTCGCAACGTGACGTAGAATCACCTTGTCAGCGAGGTTAGACGGAGCAGACAGTAGGCTGATGGGATGATAGTCCTGGGGAAATGTCGAATCCACCTTCTGTGGAATGATTATAACTTCCGTTAGTCTTTCATGCCGATGGAAAGTACTGGATCCTTAGCATGGCATTGATAATAGCCACGAGATAAGTCAAGGACTTCCGTGAAAGCAGCTTCAGCGCCTTATTAGTGATTTGATCTTCCACAGGCGCTTTACGTCTTTAATATGACGTCACGGATCATGTATTGTTTATGAGTCTAGGTGGCAGAAAGTGGAACTAAATTTATATGACTAGATTGAGCAAGTGGTTAAACGATATCGATCCAGGGCAATTGCCTAGCTGTTTGATTGAATGAGAAGCTAAAAACTGTTATTTGAACAAATGAAATGCTATCTAATTAAACTAGATGGCTGCAGTCCTGGACTATAACGTTTTATTGCTGAAATATAATTATATGTATCTTAAAGATGAATGGCAATATACATATACATCATTCGTCGCAAAGTTCGACTATTTGAAGGCCATTTAGGTGCGAAGAACTTCCTGTCATTGGCCACTTCTAAATGGAATGGCCGTCGTGTCGTTAAGTGTAAATTAAACAAATAATTTACATTTAAGTGGCTATAATTACAAGAAGAAGCATATCTTAGCACGTTTCAAGGCCGTTTTCTGTTGACATTTTTAAAATCAACAAGATCAAGAAAACACACAGCTACACTGCTCGAATTCGTGTCGTTATCCCATTCATCATCTTTCGAAGTCGACTCGGATTCACTCGCTACTGGATAATTAATAATGTCCACCGACTTCGGTATCTTGTTGTCTATGTGCATATATCAACAATAATTCTTGTACGTTGTATGTTGAACTTGAAACGCATGTATATTATGCTGGTATGTTTATGCGTGTTGACCATTAATTGATTGATAAATATATGAACTAAAATAATTCAGAAAGCAGTAATTTACTCGAAGACAAAACTGGAAATTCATCAAAAGTCTGAAAACGGGCAACTTTATAGGCTTGCTCATATTGTTTCGTCTGATTACATCGACAATATTTGAATAAAACTATGGATAAGTTTTTGCAGCGAGAATTCATTCATATATGCTGACGTCCTTATTAGGAATGCGTTTTTGATGTATGTTTCTCAACCTGTCAAAATGGCATATTTCTGACGTTTGATCTCAACGCCCTCAAACGTTGACTTGACGTTTAAGTGTCACCTGCACGGGTATACTGTAAAAAACCTATAAAACGTCAAAAAAAACCTATAAGATGTCAACTTTTAGACTACAGTATATTCAGATAAGAGATAGACCGGACATAAACAAGACCACGTGATCATGGAACGCTGTAACATTCGGCAGGGACGTATTAAGAGTCACGCAGTACATATTTTAGATAGTAGATGCTGCTTTGCGTAACTTTGTAGTAAATTAGCACAATTCGATGTGTATACGATTGGTGATGGATATCGGATCATGTGGGGGTGGGGTAAGAAATATATAATGATGTAAATATACATAAGGGTTTCAAAATTTTCGCTTCGATTTCCAGCTTCGGATGCCGCCTGATGTTTGGTGAAATACAGTCGAATATAATCTCAAAATGGCGTTTAAATTAGCCTAAATTAAAAATAATCGTATATCTCTTAAAATTGCTTTTAGAATATTGATTAGTATATTTTTTGATTTCTAGGTAAATATGTAACCAAATTAAAACGTTCAAAATGTAAAAAAATGTGCATGGTTGAACATTGTCAGAAAGTAGATTCTTGAATAGGTTTTGCCAAAATGGGTTCAAAAATGTCAATAATTAATTAAAAAATACAGTAGCTTTATAATTACTTATAACTTACCGAATTTGATGAACGACATCTTTTATTGGAAAGATGAGCTTGATGAGCTTTCATCATCGCTACTGCCTGAAGCACCAACGTCAATAATGAATGGCTCGACTTGTTCCTCTAAAATATTGTCCAGTTCCCACATTCTCTTTTCAACTTTGTCTTTCACGTGCTTAATACAGTTTTCCCATTTTTGCGCTGTTATTAATTCTAGTGCTTCTTTGAAAAGTCCTTTGAGGTCACAAAATTTAAAAGTTGTATTGTGCTTAGCTATATAATTTTTAACCTCTGCCCATATGAGCTCAATGGGATTGAGCTCGCAATGGTATGGAGGTAAACGGAGCACAGTTTTATTTTGACTTGCTGCCATTTCGTCAATGGCGTATTTTTGATATTCCGCCTTGTGATCCTTGACAATTCTTAATAATTGTACTTTCAGCATTGCTTCTTCAAAGTTGATATTTTTCGAGCGGAGCCAATTTTGAACATCAACTTTCCTTGAAGCCGTTGTTGGGACCTTCTCCATTCTTCGAGAATGATGAGGCGCATTATCCAACACAATTACTGCGTTTTCCTCTAAGTTCGGTAAAATTTTTGAAAACCGCTGTTCAAACGATTCGCCATTCATTTCCTCGTGGTAATCTCCAGTTTTCTTAGACTCAAAGCACCACAGACCGTCAACAACAAATCCATCCTCACTGCCAATATGGCAGATAATGAGCCTTTTCCCTTTACCTGGAAATCGAAGTACTAACTGGTGTAGATTTATTTCAATAAGCGAACCTTTTTCAAATATGTTCATCACATTCAGCGAAAAAACATTGAGACATGAGTATCAGATTGCTATAATTGGGATTATTTAGTCATATTGAAAGAAAGAACATTGAACGTCGTATGATTACTCAGCGCTTCACAATTTAATTTAAAGTTATAAACCTTTAAAAAATGAATGATCAGGAACCTGAAATACGCGCAAATATTAATATTAACAAATTATAACTTTATAAAGCTTAAAGTATGAATTAAAATGATTAGAAATATTAGGAACGGTACACAATATAAAACTTAGTAACTTTTTTTAAGTTTATAATATTCGACATATTTTAAGAATGTATTAAAAAATTATTGAAATATCGAAAACGCATAAAAACATGGCTTAAAAAAGTTCTAACAAATGAAAATGACAATAAAACATCCACGAATTTTATCGAAAGTTATAAAAGTTTTGTTACTTGTAATATGTTTTATCTGCCCCCTGGAATTAATGTTTAGAACCTTGTTCCCAAGGTTTGAAAAACATCCGATTGTTGTCTATTACTCGTATTTACCTGCTGGATTTTTTAATCCGGTGGACAGTCCATCTAGAAAGGCCCTCCTGGATGAAGTTACAGAATCATCAACCCATACTTTACTTGTAGTGTGTCCTGCGTTTACCCACGTTTCATCAAGGTAATAAATCTTCCTGTTTTGATTTCTATATTTCCCAATTTTTGTTAAATAATCCCTCCTCCATAGCACAATTTCTTCTCTATCCAGTAGTAAACTATTACGACCCCGTTTTTTCCATTTGAAATTTAAATGCTTCAGTAACGCATGGAAAGTTGATCGTTTGAAATTTGGCAACGTTGTATCTCCATTTACCTCCTGCAGTACTTTATCTATAGTAGGTATTTCATTCCTAAAGAAGAATTCATGCACTTTCCTCCTAATCGCATGCTTATCAGCTTCATCCAATGATTTAACAATACTTTTGCGATGTTTACTGCTCATTGGCTCAGAAAAGGTGTGATTTTTTTTGTATTGTCTTAACACATTAAACACTGATGCGCGACACACCCCAACTTTGTGAGAAACCTTCACAACAATTTCTTTGATGGTTGATGCCTCGTTCTCCTCGCGCTCGATCTCATATATATTCAAAATGACCTCTTTCATTTCTGCACTCAGGTGTCTTATTTTAGAGCGTTTCCTAGGTGGACTACAGGAGTTTACAACTTCATCGACAGTATCTGTACTACTGGGCATTTTGCGCAAGCAGTTGATAACAATAACAATCAATAACAAGGTATAACAATAACAACGACAAACTCAACAACTTAATAAGATAACAAACGAAAACGTCCAAAGAAATATCAAATTGCAATGATGCACACGACATACGTAACACGTCTGAACCTGAATGTGGCTCTGCCTTGATACGACTGCTCTGCCGCTCGGCATAGGCATTTAATTGCGAATTGACCAATGAGGGCTCCTGTTTTACGTCGAGACGGCGGCGTTAGCGTGAAAATCACCCGAACCTTTTGTTTACATCCGGTCTATCTCTTATCTGAATATACTGTAGGTAGTTTTTAGGGCGCAAACAGTCATTCCACGTTTGCTCACTAGGATCATTGTGAACGTCCATCTGTGGAGGAATCACTCAACTAAACTACGCATTATTGGTTGCATAGTTTTGTGAGGCTGAGTGATCCAGGTCTGTAGCTTTTATCTCTGAGATGAAATTTGTTTGAATAGCAAGATCGCATCTGGATGATTATGTGTATTGGTCTGCATGGGTATAAAATCAGTGATATTTGCTGGGGGGGAAAAATAATTTTTGAATATGACGAATATGACGCGTTATTTATATGTTGTGCTTTCTGAAGAGAGGTTACGTTCAAAGTTATACATTACGAAAAACAGGAGAATTACGGGAAATCATCACCGCGCCCGCGTTGTGTGTAATTACTGTTAGCATGTATATGGCTTGTAATTCGACAGTGTACAGTGAACATAATTATTTCTTATCTCTCTCATTTTTGAAATTCAGCAAATTTGTAAATGTAATTTCCAAAATGGATAAGAAAAAGTGGATGCGTAACTAATTTCTAGCTTTGAATCTCAGTTAAGTGCATTTGAGAGAAGAACCCAAAGTAATTATCATCAACACATACAACTTACAGCTTAGACCTCCAGCAATGCCATCTCAAAAGCATATTTTACATCACATCAGAGCCAAAGATAGATAACAAGCCTCATGACGTTTAGGCAACACGTACAACTAAGTTCGAAGTCAACATCTTGTAGAATAACCTACATAATGTCAAAAAAATACAGTATAATGTCAAAAAAATTCGGCATAATGTCACTTTTCAAGATACGTGATACCCGTGCTGACTTGGTACGGTATTGGTAGGCTGCGTCGTCAACATCAGAGCGAACTTGAACGAACCAGTTAGGCTTAGAGAACAATTTCGTCACAAATTTCATTTTCTGCGCAATTCTTCAAACCGCATATGTGACCGCCACCGCTATCGCACGAGTGTCTGCGATTCTTCATTCTGGACATGCACTTATCCTGTAGTTGCTTCTCTGACACAGAACGTTGTTCAGAGAACATGCACAGCTTCGGATACTGGCTCACGAAGACTAAACTCATACAGTGGGGGTGTAGACAAAAGGGTCGACAATGAAGGCGGGGTTCTCTCTTATGTACCCTGCACAGAAAACGAATTTTGTTTGCGTATGTGACATCTCTCTCATATCTAAGTCTCTCCATTGCTGCCATCATGATCGTAAACTCAAAATCTCAAATATTAATAATCTGCTTGCATTCATAAGCGTGGATTCTGTCCCTTGAACTTGCACCGTTGCGAGCTTGTATGATAGTAAAGCGTAAGACAGTATAAACGTTAGATAGCGATAACATCTCTGTAATCAACTATTGTTTAAGTTGGCAGGTATGGGACTTGTTGCAACGGTTGGTGTTATAATGGAAGATGATCTGTAAAGTACGATGCGCTCGATCGTTCTATAAGACATTACTGCATGATTTTCAGATAGCGTTAGAATTGCGGTTACACGTATTTTTTCGCTTGCGTGCAAATTGTGCTTATACAAATCGTGTCAAGGTGATCTTTATTGGTTCAGTATAAGTTGTTGGCATAGCATAGGAGAAAAAATGAAATGAGGAAGAGCATAACATTCATCAGCCAGTCATTA